AAAAAAAAAAAAAAGAAATTACATTTCAATAAAATGCATTCTTTTTGAAAAAAAAAATCAACAAAAACCTCACCTTGTTTACTAACCTGATCAGTGCTCATCTGGGTTGAACCATCCTTATACATCAGAGTCACCACCAGGGCTGCTGCTCCTCTGAGCAGTTCAATCAGCTGGCTTTTCTCCAAATCCTCCAAATACCTAACATCACAAAAATGCTTTTCAAATGAACTTGAGTTCCCAGAATTTCGACAGGCTTCAGCCTCCTTTTCATCTTCCAGTGCTACATGTTTGCTTGTTTTTGCTGAAACGTTAATGGACGGAATATGCTCTCTTTGGCGCTTCACGCCCTCCATGTTTCCACCTGCACTGACACTGTCTCTTAGGAAATGTGGTCTTTTACACTCCATTTTCTGTAGAACTGAAGCCTCCCGATGAGACTGTGTACTTAAACAACTGGACGCAGACTGGGAGCTGCTGCTCTGCTGCTTTTGGTCAGGGGACAGAGGATCGGGGACTCCAACGCTGGCCGACGGAGGAGGGAACTGGATGGAAGTTCTTGATGTCTGGCTTGTTAAAGAAATAAGATTCTATGGAAAAATGGAAAGTATTTCGTAAGAATATTACATTGTATGATTCCACTTATAGTGACAGAAAGTAGGTTAGAGGCTACCAGGGGCTCTGGGGTCAGAGGAGAACAGTGAGCTATTACTGAATGAGTACTTTCTGTTTGGGGTGGTGGGACGGTTTGGAAATAGTGAGGATGGTTGCACAGTACTGTGGATGGAATAAATGTTACTAAATTGCGCACTGAAAATGATTACAATGGCAAATTTTATGTTATATATCTTACCACAATAAAATCTTTAAGAATTGTTGTTGTTAGGTGCTATTGAGTTATCTCCGACTCACAATGACCCCATGTACAGCAGAACGAAACACTGCCCAGTCCTGTGCCAGCCACACAATCCTTGCTATACCTGAGCCCACCATTGTACCCACTGGGTCAATCCATCTCGTTGAGGGCCTTCCCCTCTTTTGTTGACCCTCCACTTTACCAAGCATGATATCCTTCTCCAGGGAATGGTTCCTTTTGACAATATGACCAGATGAAATCTGATGAAATCTGGCCATTCTCGCTTCCAAGGAGCATTCTGGCTGCACTTCCTCCAGGGCAGATGTGTTAGTTCTTTTAGCAGTCCATGGTACTTTCAGCATTCTTTGCCAGCACAACTCAAAAGCATTGACTCTTCTTCAGTCCTCCTTATTCATTGTCCAGCTCTCACATGCATATGACGTGATTGAAAATACCATGGCTTGTGTCAGGTGCACCTTAGTCCTCATGGAGACATCTTTGCTGTTCAGCACTTGAAAGAGGTCTTCTGCAGCCAATTTGCCCAGTGCTATATGTTGGCTGATATATTGACTGCTGCTTCCATTGGTGTTCACTGTAGAACCAAGTAATATAAAGTCTTTGACAACTTCAATCTTTACTCCATTTATCATGATGCTACTTATTGGCCCAGTTGTGAGGATTTTTGTTCTTTATACTGAGGTGTAATCCATACTCATCAATAGATAGATACATAAAAGAATAGTCATACAATGTCTACAAAGTGTCAATATCAGGTGGTGGCTTCAAATCTGAAGTGATGGTTAGATGTGAAGTGAAATTTTAATTGACTTAAGACTGTAATCTTCAATTATCAGTAAGTGCTTCACGTCGTCCTCACTTTCAGCAAGGAAAGTTGTGTCATCAGTGTATCACAGGTTATTAATGATTTTTCCTCCAATCCTGATGCTGTGTTCTTCTTCATATACTCCAGCTTCTCAGATTATTTGCTCAGCATACAGATTGAATAAATATGGTGAAAGGCTACAACCCTGACGCACTCCCTTCTTGATTTTAAACCATGCAGTGTCCCCTTGTTCTGTTCAAACAACAGTCTCCTGGTCTATGTACAGGTTCCTCATGACTACAATTAAGTGTTCTGGAATTCCCATTCTTCTCAATGTTATCCATAATTTGTTATGATCCACACAATCAAATGCTTTAAAACATAAGTAAACATCTTTCTGGTATTCTTTGCTTTGAGCCAAGACCCATTTGACATGATATCCCCCATTCCACATCCTCTTCTGAATCCAGCTTGCATTTCTGCAAGTTCTCTGTCAATATTCTGCTGCAACTGATTTTGAATTATCTTCAGTAAGATTTTACTTGCATGCAATATTAATGATATTGTTCAATAATTTCCACATTCTGTTGGATCACCGTTGCTTGCATCTCTTCCAGTCAGTTGGCCAGGTAGTTGTCTTCCAAATCTCCTGGCATAGCCAAGTGAGTGCCTCCAGCATGAAATCAGTTTGTCGAAACATCTCAGTTTGTATTCCATCAATTCCTGAAGCCTTGGTTTTTGCCACTTCTTTTAGTGCAGCTTTCACTTCTTTCTTCAGTACCATTTGTTCTTCATTATATGCCACCTCCTGAAATGGATGAACATCAACCAATACTTTTTGGTACAGTGACTCTGTGTATTCCATCTTTTTTTTTCTTTCTTTCTTTTTTTGATGTTTCCTGCATCATTCAATATTTTGTCCATAGAATCTTTCAATACTGCAACTCGAGGCTTAAATTTTTTCCTCAGTTCTTTCAGCTTGAGAAATGGTGAATGTGTTCTTCCCTTTTAGTTTTCTAACTCCAGATCTTTGCACATTTCATTATAATAACTGACTCTGTCTTCTCAAGCTGCTCTTTGAAATCTTCTGTTCAGCTCTTTTACCTTGTCATTTCTTCATTTGCTTTAGCTACTCTCCGTTCAATTGCAAGTTTCCAATCTCTTCTGACATCCATTTTGGTCTTTTCTTCCTTTCCTGTCTTTTTAATGACCTTTTGCTTTCTTCATGGATGATGTTCTTGATGTCATCCCACAATTCCTCTGGTTTTCGGTCATTGGTGTTCAATGCATCAAATCTGTTCTTTAGATGGTCTCTAGATTCAGGAGGGATATATTCAAGGTCATGTTGTGGCTCTCGTGGACTTGCTTTAATTGTCTTCAACTTCACCTTGAACTTGCATATGAGCAGTTGATGGCCTGTTCCACAATCAGCTCCTGGCCTTGTTTTGGCTGAAGATATTGAGCTTTTCCATCGCCTCTTGCCACAGACGTAGTCAATCTGATTCCTGTGTACTCCATCTGGTGAAGTCCACATGTGTAGTTGCCATATGTGTTGTTGAAAAAAGGTATTTGCAATGACTGGTCTTGCAAAATTCTATCATGCGATCTCCAGAGTTATTTCTATCTCCAAGGCCAAATTTTTCAACTACCGGTGATTCTTCTTTGTTTCCAACTTTTGCATTCCAATCACCAGTTATAATCAGCACATCTTGATTGCATGTTCAGTCAATTGCAGACTACAGAAGTTGGTAAAAATCCTCAATTTTCTCATCTTTGGCTTTGGTGGTTGGTGCATAAATTTAAATAATGGTAGTATTAAATGGCTTTCCTTTTAGATGTATGTATATAATCCTATCGCTGACAGGATTGTACTTCAGCACAGATCTTGAGACATTCTTTGTGATGTTGAATGTCATGCCACTCATCTTCAATTTGTAATCACAGCATAGTAAATCATATGGTCGTCTAATTCAAAATGGCCAAAAACAGTCCATTTCAGCTCATTAACGCCTAGGATATCAATCTTTGTGTGTTCCACTTCATTTTTGACAACTTCCAATTCTCCTAGATTCATACTTCATACATTCTATGTTCCGAGTATTAATGGTTTATTAATGGATGTTTGCAACTGTTTCTCTTCAGTTTGAGTCATGCCATGTCAGCAAATGGAGGTCCCAAAAGCTTTACTTTATTCATATCATTAAGATTGGTTCTACTCTGATGAAGCAGCTCTTTTGAGACCATCAAGAAACCAGAGAGAAGATCTCTATGTGAAAGAGTAATAATTATTTGTTGTTGTTGTTATGCGCCGTCGAGTCGGACTCGACTCATAGCGACCCCTCCTTTGGTTTCCGAGGCAGTATCACTACGGAAGTAGGATTGCCCAACCTTCCTTCCGAGGAGTGGCTGGTGGGTTTGAACTGCCAGCCTTCTGGTTAGCAGTCAAGTGCCTTAGGCACTATGCTACCAGAGCACACAGTCACTCATTAATCTTAATAAAGTCTTTTTGCTATACTTTTGAACACGGAGAAAATGAATGACTCAAATAATGAGTAAAAAACAAAGATCATTTCCCGTTGTTTCCTTTCAACACAATTAAAAGAAATCCTAAGAGCTGTCAAATAATAAGCAATTAAAATAGCTTTTGCTTATGACTGATCATCTTGTAAGACTTTTTCCAGACGCTGCTGTAACCAACAGTCTACTTCTGTAAAGATTTACAGTCTTAGTCACTATGAGTTGGAATCAACTCAATGGCAGTGGATTTGGCTGGGATCAAACACCATGAATTTCCTTCTGCATTTACAAGATTTCTGTAAACTTGTACCAACTAAAAATAACCAAATACGATTAAGCAACAATTTTCTTCCTGTCTCATTCGAGCAATGTTTGCAATATTCATTCACAGATCCGCAAATGGAAAGAAAAAAGCATCTCTATCCTTAGCCTTATATGATCCACTGCGCATGAAATTTCATTTTAAATGTTTATTTTTCAAAATGTATGGTATATTTATGCTGTTTTAAACAGTTGTGTACTAGTAAAACTTTAAATCATTTTGAAAGAAAAAATTTAACACTTAAAATCATATGGTCACAAAATTTAAGTTCATATTCATGCTTTTATCACAAAGAGATATTATGTGGTTTTCAAGAAAAGACTGGCAAGCATAAGGTTATATTCTTTTTAAATTTTTGTGGATACCTACTATACAGCCACAGTACTCAAAACAGCTTGGTACTGGTACAATGACAGACACACAGACCAACACCAAAAAACCAAACTCACTGCCATTGAGTAGGATCCAACCCATAGTGACCCCTCATTGGGTTTTCGAGGTGGTATCACTACAGAAGTAGATTGCCCAACCGTCCTTCCAAGGAGTAGCTGGTGGGTTTGAACAGCCAGCCTTCTGGTTAGCAGTCAAATGGCTTAGGCACTGTGCCACCAGAGACCAGTGGAACAGAACTGACAACCCAGAAATAGATCCAACGACCTATGGTCAGCTGATCTTTGACAATGGGCCAAAATCCATTAAATGGGCAAGAGGTGGTCTCCTTGGCAAATGGTGCAGGCAAAACTGGATATCTATTTGCAGAAAAATGAAACAAGATCCATACCTCACACCACATACAAAAACTAACTCCAGATGGATCAAAGACTTAAATGTGAAACCTAAAGCTATAAAGTTCCTCAAGGAAAAACTAGGGGCAAATTTAGGGGCCCTGATTTAGGAGCTCGGGTAGCATAGTGGCTAAAGCACTTGACTGCTAACCAGAAGGCTGGCGGTTCAAACCCACCAGCCACTCCTCGGAAGGAAGATTGGGCAATCCTACTTCCGTAGTGATACTGCCTCGGAAACCCAAGGAGGGGTCGCTATGAGTCAGGGCCGACTCGACGGCACATAACAACAACATAACAACAACAATTTATAGCTTAAATAGACTGTCAAGCACAACCCAAAATGCACAAACAGCTGAAGATAAACTAGATGAATGGAACCTTCTAAAAATTAAGTTTTTACATGCTTCCAAAGACCTCTCCAAAAAAATCAAAAGAGAACCTACAGATTGGGCAAAAACATTTGGCAATGACATGACTGACAAGGGACTTATCTCTAAAATTTATAGAAAACTCCAACACCTCAACAACAAAAAGATTAACAATCCAATTAAAAAATGGGCAGAAGACACAAATAGACATTCACCAAAAAGGATATTCAGATAGCCAGCAAATACATGGAGAAACGCTCATGATCATTAGTCATCAGAGAGATGCAAATCAAAACAACGAGATACCATCTCACTCTAGCACTAATGGCAAAGTTCAGTAAGACAGAAAATAATAAATGCTGGCAAGGATGCAGAGAGATGGGGACTCTCATACACTGCTGATGGGACTGTCAAATGATACAATCACTGTGGAAAATAGTACGGCAATTCCTTAAAAAGCTGGAATTAGAAAGACCATTTGACCCAGCAATCCCAATACTAGGTACATATCCTAAAGAAGTGACAGCCAGGACAAGAAGAGATATATGCACACCCATGTTCATTGCAGTACTATTTCCAACAGCAAAAAGATGGAAAGAACCTAGGTGCCCATCGACAGAAGAATGGATAACCAAACTATGATACATACACACAATGGAATACTACGCAACACTAAAGAAGAAGGCAGAATCTGCAAAACACCACATAACATGGATAAACTTGGAGGACATTATGCTGAGTGAAGTAAGTCAATCACAGAAGGATGAATATAGCATTACTGCATTATTGTAAAAAGTCAAGGAAAGGTTTACATATAGAAGGAAACTTTCTTTCTTGGTTACCGGGGTGGGAAGGGAGGGGAAAGAACACTGAAAAAAAAAAAATGCATTGATCCATGCCACTTCAGTTTTGTGTATTTCACTGTACATAAATTATATTTCAATAAAATGTATTTTAAAAAAATTGTGGAGAGGTATTCAAGGATAAAAAGAAAAATACAAAAATTCAGACTGTTCATGAAAGAAAACCGTATGTGAGCTGCTATACGGAAAATGAATTTGCTCTGTAAACTTTCACCCAAAACACAATAAAAACTAAAAGAAAAAAATTCAGACTGTTAAAGAAGACCTTGCTACGCCTTTTTCAAATGGATGACTATTGCCATAAATTGCCAGAGCACAGTTCCTTAGATTTTAATAGGCATATTTAAAACCGTGAGATACCATTTTTTAAATGTCAGTATTAACAATACACTAGAAATTACATCCTTTGCAACTATTTAAATTTGTGATGAATATTTTAAGTGTTAACTTAAAAATATGCTAGGGGTAGACATATAGCTTTCCAAAATGCTTTTGAGAGAAAGGGAGCAAAAAAATGTGAAGAAGTATAGTTGCAAACCACTAAGAGATATAATGTCCATTCATTGAAAATTTCCCATCATTTCTATATAATTTGCACTCATTTACAAAGAACTACACTGTCTCTTTTCTATCAAATATGCCCCTGTCTCTGCTCTAGGAGCAAATACCTATTCTGTTGATCTGAGAGAAGGTCTGTGGGATAGGTGGTATTATTATTCCTATTTTATTCCAACTCGAAGCTGATGGCATTAGGTTGGGATTGAATGCAGGCAGTTTGGCTCCAGTATCGTGTTCTAGACCACTATGCTGCCACCAGCATGATTTCATGCCCAAGGATCTCAATTCAGTTACCATTTTCACACTTCAGAAGGATGTCCCAGACTCCTCTCCCAGAACTCAGACAAAGCAAAAGGAACGAACAGAAGCTGAGCTAGACGGCCCTCCTTTATTTCCAGAACATATCCACATTCTACCACTCGTCTCCCCGTGAACACCGTCCACAGCCTACCAACCGCCCGTCTCCCCGTGAGCACCGTCCACAGCCTACCGACCGCCCGTCTCCCCGTGAGCACCGTCCACGGCCTACCGACCGCCCGTCTCCCCGTGAGCACCGTCCACGGCCTACCGACCGCCTGTCTCCCCGTGAGTACCGTCCGCGGCCTACCGACCGCGTGTTTCCCCGTGAGCACCGTCCACAGTCTACCACTCGTCTGCCCGTGAACACCGTCCATGGTCTACTGACCGCTCGTCTGCCCGTGAACACCGTCCATGGTCTACTGACCGCTCATCTCCCCGTGAACACCGTCCATAGTCTACCGCTCGTCTCCCCGTGAGCACCGTCCACAGTCTACCGACCACGCGTCTCCCCATGAACACCGTCCACAGCCTACCACTCGTCTGCCCGTGAACACCGTCCATGGTCTACTGACCGCTCGTCTGCCTGTGAACACTGTCCATGGTCTACTGACCGCTCATCTCCCCGTGAACACCGTCCACAGTCTACCGCTCGTCTCCCCGTGAACACCATCCACAGTCTACCGACCACGTGTCTCCCCGTGAACACCATCCACAGCCTACCGCTCGTCTGCCCGTGAACACCGTCCATGGTCTACTGACTGCTCGTCTGCCCGTGAACACCGTCCACACCCTCCTGCCCGTCTTCCCCTGCAGAGTTCTCCTGCATGTCCCTCTCTTCCCCTCCCCCTCATCCAAATTAGACTGCAAGCTCCCTGAAAGGAAGAAGTCCCCTTTGACCATCAGATCCTCAGTACTCAGTCTATCTTAGACACCTAGTAAGTATTTGCTGAACGAATGAGGGCTGTATTGTTGTTGTGGTGGTGATTATATGGCACTGAGTCAATTCTGACTTAAAGTGGCCCTAAGGACAAGACAGCTACCTGGCCAACTGACTGGAAGAGATCCATATTTGTACCCATTCCAAAGAAAGGTGATCCCACAGATTGTGAAAATTATCGAACAATATCATTAATATCGTACACAAGTAAGATCTTACTGAAGATAATTCAAAAACGTTTGCAGCAGTATATTGACAGAGAACTTCCAGAGATGCAAGCTGGATTCAGAAGAGGACGTGGAACAAGGGATATCATAGTTGTCAGATGGATCTTGGTGCAAGGCAAATACCAGAAAGATGTCTACTTGTGTTTTATTGACTATGCAAAGGTATTTGATTGTGTGAATCATGACAAATTATGGATAACATTGAGAAGATTGGGAATTCCCGAGCACTTGATTGTACTGATGAGGAACCTGTACCTTGACCAGGAGGCTGTCGTTCGAATGGAACAAGGGGACACTGCATGGTTTAAAATCAGGAGGGGTTGTATCCTTTCCCCATATTTATTCAATCTATATGCTGAGCAAATAATCCGAGAAGCTGGACTATATGAAGAAAAACGTGGCATCAGGATTGGAGGAAGGATCATTAACAACC